TGAGCAGCAGGAGAACCAGGCAGTTCAGCCTCACCCACCATTGGCAAAAGCAAGGTTTCCCCCATTTGCCTTTCTAGTCTAGAGGGTGTGGACTTCTAAGACAGCTGTAATCTAGGCCTCTACAAGGCTACACCCATTCTTGGCTGGGTTTATGCAAGCTCCTCAAGGATAATACCTTTTGAAGAAGCAAATAAGAAATTTGGAACTTCCAGAGTTCATGTGCCTTAGATGACCCTGATAAGTACACTGATGTCTTTTAGAGGATTTATTCAAATTTATGAACTAGGTTGGAAAGATATAATGTTAATCTTAAACCAAACTTTGACTTCTATGAAAAGCAGGTAGCCTTACAAGCTGCTATTACATTTGGAGAGGAATATTATACTGTTATAAGGACTCAAAAGATGGAAAACCAGTAGAATTACCTGTTCGCACTGGAGCCCGACCAGTCAGAGCCCTGCTGCTAATAGCTAGGCAGAAGAGTGGAAAAGACATTTTCTTTCAAATGTGTATTCTTCAAGGTCTAAGAACTAGAACCAAGCCTTAAGTTATTAAATGTTAGCTATTTATCAGGAAAAAGAGGAACACCCCTCTGATTTCCTAAAATGTTTAATAGAGGGATGGGTAAAGCATTCTTTGTGAGATGTTAATTCAATAGAGAGATAGATTACTCTTACAGATAAGTTGATGAGCTACAAAAGATAGCTTTTGCTCCAGACAGCTCATTTGATACTTTGGTAAAAACTGTTTAAGTGTCCTATAATTGGAACTAGGAGAAAACCAAGGAGAGAAAGCAAAGAGACAAAAAAAAAAAAAAAAAAAAAAAAAAAAAAAAAAAAAAAAAAAAAAAAAAAAAAAAAAAAAAATAGCCTCCATTATTGTGACCTCCACACAGACCCAAAGTCTGATTCTCTTGGCTCCAAGAAGAGCTCAGCGATGATGACACTCATGACAGGTCTCCCTATGGAAAAGCGCGCCACAGTTAGTTTAACTGGCACTGGTAGACGGAGGAAAAGAGGCTGTCTTGAAGGCAAAGTGAAACCAAGCAGTTAGCTAAGGAAGCTCGCAAGGCTGACCCACCGCCCACCGCGGGCATTCTCCTCGGTACTCGGCCACCCAGCTGTGCATCCTGCGCGCCTCAGTTGTTGTGTAGTTACGCAGCAGCCTCCGCGGACTCAGCCATCAGTTGTGCTATACATTTCTGTCAGGCCAGTGATTACATTCTTTCCAAAATACAGATGCATGATCTTTCCGTTTGGCTTGGTTTTTTGAGACAGGGTCTCCCTGTGTAGTTCAGGCTGGCCTTCAACTCACTGTGTAGCCCAGACTGGCCTCAGGCTCGTGGCAGTCCTTCTGCCTCAGCCTCCTGAGTGCTGGGCTTATAGGCGTGTGCCACCCCACCCAGCCTGTGCATGGCATTTTGAGTGCGTTCACAGCCAAGCCTTCTCCCTGGCACCGGTGAGCCGCCTTGTGGGGGCGGTGCCAGGCTGGGAGCTTATGTGCGTGTGTTCCGTGCTTGCAGAGCCGAGTGCCCTAGCCAGGCTAGCGGTCTGCATTGCTGCTAGCCAAAGTTACATAGTGTCTTTTCAGGCTGTGTTATGGCAAATGCCCTTTTAGGCTTGTGAAAGAAATCATTTCCCCGGGTTTGAGGAGGGACATGAGACAACAAATGCAAAACTGCCTGCACAGAGTACTGCTGTTGCTGCCTTTCACGATCCTTTGGAACATTCATGACCCAGCTGAATGCAGTTTGAAACTGTCACAACTTAAAGTGTCTTTCTTCCACAAATACTAAGAAATATACTTAAGAGGCTTTAATTTTAAGTATAATAGAGTGAATTACACATTTCAAATTAAGTGCTCATCCTTAGCATGTAACATTATGATTGAAATATTTTTCATTTTAATTTTCAAGAGAAAAGTTAAATTGTGGCCCAGGGTGTTACGGTACTACTACCAGTATGCCATTCGTTCTTACATAGAGGTCATGGGAAGGGACGTGTACATCTAGACAGAGCCTGTGCTTTTGGGGGATATACACAGGGTCCTCATGAAAGAAAGGAAGGACCGCCTTACTACCCTGTAAATCTGGAAGTTCTGATTATGTTTAGCTCTCAAAAAACTAATTTATTTGGTAGTCAACCAAAAGCATTTGCAAAGTACCTTGCTTTCCAAAACTGACTTTGACTAACCTATAGAGAATAAAGATAATATGAAGGTGTTTATATCAAAAACTATGTTTCCCATTTATATTTTCAATTGGAAGCCGATTCGTAATTCTTAATCATTAACCCAAGCTTGCTCTCAACTACAGCACTGCCTAGAATAGACAGACCGCTCAGGTTTTGCTTTGTTACTTCTGAGGTCTTGCCACATTGACATATCTCTCAGTGCCTTAGATCCCTTGACTGGTTAAGGCCTGGAACAAGGTAAACCTGATGGGCTCAGACTTTTGCTTGCTTGTGTGTCTCTTGAGACACAGTCTCACTATGTAGTTCAGGCTAGCCTTGGACTCGCTATGTGACTCACCTTTCAGTGTTCCTCCAGCCTCAGCCTCTGAGTGTTGATTTACAGGGTGTGTGCCCCCATGGCTGGCCAACACTTTTGACTTTGGGTCCCCAAAGAAGCCAGAAGCAGATAGAGAAATCCGGTTGTGCTGATGCCTGTATTCAGAGTGGCCTTATCTTGACCTTAGTTGAATTTGACCCAGCACTCTATAGGAAATTTGTGAAGTCAGAATTTTCTTTGTCCTGTGAGGAATCTATGCAAGGCTGTGTACCCTTTCTTGAAGACCCTATGGGTGAATAACCTTACTAAGTTAGCTGCCCGTACTACAACCTTCCAGGAAGAATTTTAACTACTATGCAGCGTTGGAAGCACTTTGACATATATATTTAAAGTGACAGTGTTAACAGGAAAATGGTGTTAATCACTGTAAAACTTGAACGTGTAATGTTGCTCCGGGCTTTCTAGAAGCTTGCATAAATTTCTGAATTTCCTTTATTAATTATGCAACCCATGTGATTTGTATATTTTAGTTTTCATCTTTGACAGTGGTACAAGTAATTGGCCTAATGGCTGGCAATTCCAAGGACAGTATGTGGTAAATCACGGTTGTCTTGCTTCCACAGAAATAGCAGCGTGTCCACTCTTCCCTTGCGTAGAGCTGTGGGAATTGGATTTGTGGGCTGATTCATTTCCAGTGTTTATATGGTGCAAAATAAATATAACTTTATTTTTTAAACTGCATGTTAGTAATATGCTTTTCTTTTTAATAAAAAAATGTGAGCAATTTTAAAAAAAAAGAAGCAGACCATAGTCAGGCATGGTGGCAGACATGCGCCTGTGATCCTAGCACACAGCCAGACCCAGTCTCAAAAAGACGAAAAAAAGAAAAAAAGATGAAAAGGTAGCCCGATCTCCCTGATCCTAAATAGGCAAAAACAATACAGTAAATCCCAGACCTACAAACAAGTTCTGCTCTGAGAGAAAGTCTGTCTGATGCATTTGTAAGTCCCAGCTGTACACAACTTTCATACAAATATAAAGCATATATATATAAATCTAACACCCTCGTAGACCCTGACACAAATTCAAAAGAATTGTGGAAGGGAAATTCCAGAATAATGAATAAAAGATTGGAGAGTCCTTGAGGAGCAGAGTCAAATGGTGCAGAAGAAATGTCCCCGGGGAGGTGAAACTGTGTTTGAATGTACTCAGAGAGATCCACATGCTATTTTTCCATTATGGCATTTCAACCTATTTTCATTAAAAAAGCAAGGGCCATTTTTCAACTTCTTGCACAAATTCAGTGCCCTATATATACTGGGCACTCAAATATGTTTTGTTTTCATTTATGTATTTGGTATAAGGTCTCACTATGCAGCTCGGACTTGTAGTGATGCCGCTGTTTGAGGCTGCCCTGCACTGGGATTACAGGCGTGCGCCACCACGCCTGGATTCTGTCTCCGCTCAGTGCCAGCGTGGCATGCGGGACCGGGACAAAAACGTTTTAAATGAATGGAATGGATTATCTGCATTTGTAGAACATCGTAGCAATCTGCAAAGGGCTTAAAAACAGACGCGGAACCCCTTAGGACACTTCAATATTCTGATGCTAATGCGGATTTATTCTGAACAGCATGACATCGATTCATCCACCGACCTGGAGACCAAGAACAGAATCATGAGGGTAGAGAGGGGGTCAGTAAATTTTGCAGCTAGTTTTAATCTGATGATTCGTCTTTGATTTCCTCATTTCAAAAGTTTTTGTTCACGGGGTTACTGTGAGGACCGGGCTCACGCATGGTGCTCCGCATTACAACTTTCTCCAACTTCGGGAGGGCTTTGGCTTTGTTTGCTTGTTTTAAGGTACTGAGGATTGAGCAGCTTTTGAAATTTTTATTTTATTTACTTTTTTGTTTTTGTTTTATTTTTTGATTTTTGGGGTTTTTTGTTTGTTTTGAGACACGTTCGGGCTGGGGAGATGGCTCAGTAGACTAAGTGCTCGCCTGCGTTCAATCCCCGGATCCGCAAAGGGGGGGTCGGGCAGGGAGACAGCTCGGTGGAATAAGCGCTTACCCGGCAAGGGCAGGCTTCTGAGTTCAAGACACACGTGCTCACTAACTTGCCAAGTGGCCCGGGCTGCGCTAGATCGTGCCTTCCTCCCCCTCAGCTTCCCAGAGGGCTGGGACCACAGGCCTGCTCCCCCGCCCGGCTATGGTGGAAGCCTTCCCGAAGACGTTCAAGGAACTGGCCTGGGGCGGGACAGCACCCGCAGCGCCGGGCAAGCGCCCGCCCCGAGACGCCCCGCCGCGGGGCTGCGCTGTGGGGACTGCGGCCGCGAGAGGGCAGCACCCCAAACCTTGGGGCTCGCAGCACCTTCTCGCTCCGCCCGCCCCCACGAGGTTTCGCTTAGGAGCGCAGAGACGCAGGCCTCGCAGCCCGCGCTGAGTTCTCGCGAGAGCGTCGCCGGAAGTGGGCGGGCGGGAGCGCCGCGCTCGCGAGATCGCTGCTGCGGTGGGTGGTGGCGGAACGCGGGGGCTCGGCGCTTTGCAAAGCCAGCGTTTCTGGAGGGCGCCCGCAGCCGGCTGTCCCAGGCGCGCTTTTCCGAGACAGCTGCCGCCGCGGCCCCTCGGCGTCCCCGAGCGCAGTCGCAGCCCGGCCGCAGGCCCGCTCCGCGCCCGGCTCGGCCGCGCCTAGGCCGCGCCCTCAGGCCCAGTCGGCGGCGGCCCCTGCGGGTGATGCCCAATACAGCCATGAAGAAGAAGGTGCTGCTGATGGGGAAGAGCGGCTCGGGGAAGACCAGCATGCGGTCCATCATCTTTGCAAACTACATTGCGCGCGACACCCGGCGCCTGGGCGCCACCATTGACGTGGAGCACTCCCACGTCCGCTTCTTGGGGAACCTGGTGCTGAACCTGTGGGACTGCGGCGGCCAGGACACCTTTATGGAGAACTACTTCACCAGCCAGCGGGACAACATCTTCCGTAACGTCGAGGTTTTGATTTACGTGTTCGACGTGGAGAGCCGCGAACTGGAAAAGGACATGCATTACTACCAGTCGTGTCTGGAGGCCATCCTGCAGAACTCCCCTGACGCCAAGATCTTCTGCCTGGTGCACAAAATGGATCTGGTGCAGGAGGACCAGCGCGACCTGATCTTTAAAGAGCGAGAGGAAGACCTGAGGCGATTGTCTCGCCCACTGGAGTGCGCTTGCTTTCGAACATCCATCTGGGATGAGACGCTCTACAAGGCCTGGTCGAGCATCGTCTACCAGCTCATTCCCAACGTTCAGCAGCTGGAGATGAACCTGAGGAATTTTGCTCAGATTATCGAGGCTGATGAAGTGCTGCTGTTTGAGAGAGCGACCTTCTTGGTGATCTCTCATTACCAGTGCAGAGAGCAGCGTGACGTGCACCGCTTTGAGAAGATCAGCAACATCATCAAGCAGTTCAAGTTGAGCTGCAGTAAATTGGCCGCTTCTTTCCAGAGCATGGAGGTTAGGAATTCCAACTTCGCCGCCTTCATCGACATCTTCACGTCGAACACGTACGTGATGGTGGTAATGTCGGATCCGTCCATCCCCTCTGCAGCTACTCTCATCAACATCCGCAATGCCAGGAAACACTTTGAGAAGCTGGAGCGAGTGGACGGCCCCAAACACAGTCTCCTCATGCGCTGAGGACTGCCAGTGCTCTTTAGGAAAACGCCGAATTTCGTTTGCATCCTTTGTTTTTAATATTGATGATGTCGTGTGCTTAGACGTGGGCTTCGCGATGCGTGCTCCTTACTCCTTCCCCTGCTTTCCTCCTGTCCTCTAGATTGTTTGGCACTACTTACTCAGCTGTCCAGCAGAGCTGCCAGGTGGCTTTTCTGAAAAGTGGGTGCGTGTAACACTACAGTAGGTGGACTGTGTGTGTTCCGACTGCCTGGTTATGATATGCACATGAGAGCCTTTATCAGTATCTTCCTGTATTCCCAGATTGCAGAGACGGAATGTTACTATTTTATCAACAAGGTATTAAAATGCATTTACAAATTCTTGGCTTCGATCCTTAATAAACATTTAATGTTAGCAATTTAAAGTGTGGCCTGTCTGGAAATGATTTGAGCTGCTGAGTCTCCAGTTTCTCACTGCCCACCCATTCTGCTTAACTAGCCAACTTGATTTTTGTGCACTTAGCCCCATCATACTGAGATCATTCAGTGGCAGAGTGGTTGAATTTGGACTCGAGCTAGGCCACGTGAGCTGGGGTAGTACTATGCCCTTTCACTCACCTCTGTGACGTGGGCACGATTTCTCCGAGCTTGTTTCCTCACTTGTAAAATGGGTAAGAAAACCACTACTGCACAGGATGTTAAGCAAACATGCCAAGCACAGAAAATGCTGCCTAGCAAAACTACTATTAGCTGTTACTACCACCTAGTGAGCCGTCCCTCCCCCAAATTGCTGCAAGTAAAGTCTAGGTAATTTGTTTTGTTTTCTTTTGAAGGTAGGGTTACACTGTAGTTCAGGCTGGCCTTGAACTCCCTATGGTTACAGGCTAAGCTGGCCCCAAACTCGCTGCAGTCTTGGGATTACAGGCATGCACTAGCATGCCGCGCTCTACCTAAATGTGTACTGGAGTTGGGTCAGGAGTGGTGGTGTATGCTTTAGTTGTAGCACCTGCATGACGCCAGCCTGGGCTAGAGATTTCTCAAAACAGAACACTTAAGTATTTAGTGTCTTTATCCTCAAAACCTGTGAGGCAAGTTGCTTTTTATCTGTGTGGTAATAGGTAAATCAAGGCAATCTAAAAAGACGGTTCCCCCTCCTAGCCATTACACCCATTATAGTACTTCCACTGACAAAAAATTTCTATTTTCTTTTGATACCAGGAATCAAACTCACACTTGCAGGCATTGTGCTGCTGAGCTGTATCCCCAGTCCTTGAAAAGTTTACCATATGGGGCTGGTGAGATGGCTCAGTGGTCTAAAGCACCTACTTAGAACAAGCTAAGCTAAGCAAAGCACCGGGAGCGCTGTTCAATCCCCCAGCACCACATGCCAGCCAGCCCGCCCCTGGTGGGCTGAGCTGGACACACACACACACAAAATAAATGTTTAAAAAAAAAGTTTACCATAAAAGTATGCATGGCGCGGAGGGGCTGGGGAAGTAGCTCAGTAGGACAAGTGCTTGCCTGGCAAGCGCAAGGGCCTGAGTTCAATGCCCAGTTCCACCAAAAAAATAAAATATGCCATTTTTAGTTGTAGACTATTTCCTCAACTTGTTTCACATAACAAGTCTTTCAAAGAATAGTGTGTGCTCACTTTGGGCAAGATCACTATCTGGAAATCGGTTAACATGTGACTTCTTGGGATTACCTACTTTCAGGGGCGAATTCTGAGGTAAGTAATTTGTTATTGCCAGCATGGTATAACTGAATTTAGGAAACATAAAATGTGCTGTTCTAGGAATAGCTGTTTTCAATGTTAAGTAGCCAAGAGACCTCTGATCACCTTGTTTTGTAGAAAAGGCAGTATCGTTGTAAAGATAAAAGTGATAGGTCTTTAGTAGTTAGCTATTCTTTCTAGCAACAGATGTGATGACAGGGTCTCTAGCCATGAAGAGCAAGCTACTAAAAGGTAAAGTCACCTAAGTAAGGCTACCAGCAGTGAACTCCAGATGATAAAACTGATAGCATGGATAAAAATACATGTCAATCTAGCAATTCAGATGTCAGTAAATACTCCTACCTGAACCACTGAGCCTCTCAATTTATTTTGATTAGCTGTTATGTAGGGATCTGTCGGTGTTACTGTGATGTTTTGGCCAGGGACAAACGGTGGCAGGAATGAAAAAAAGACAAGACAAAAGCTTGGCTAGGTGGTGGCTGGTTTGTCTCGTCCCCACCCACCCACCCACCCCCAGCCCGGCTTTACACTTTTGTAAAGTCAGTAACATGTGACACAAGGTTCTTTAGCAACTAACAGCCAACCTTAATTAGACAGAATGTGTATCTCAGGACTGAGGTAGCTTGTTTCAGGCACTGAGGACTATTTTTGTCTGTATACCTTTGACCAATTTTTTTAGCTTTTGTGGCTCGGCTTGCAAAGGTATGGTTCACCCTGATACAAGAAACTTCAGAGACGGATGGCCTAATACCGGATGTCCACAACAGTATGTGGAGCGCATTTCCAAACAGGCCTGCAGAGCATAACCACTTCAGACCTGGGTGTCAGTTCATGATGCACAAGGAAAAAGGTGATCTTTGGAGCTGTTTGAGGATTGTGTTTTGTTTTGGCTGGCTCAGGCTGCCTTAAGGGTGGGTTGGGTAAGGCATGGGGAGCTGGGGATCAAACCCCAGTCCCCTGGGACCAACTGGGTTTGCCCCAGCAAGCGCTTAAACAACTGAGCTAACCCACAAGCCCCCTAAAGCTACTATTTGAACTTTATGCAAAAATAATTTTGTTTTCACCAATATGTAAGATGGACCAGGCCTGGTGGTACATGTGTATAATCCCAGCACTCAGAGGATTTGCTACAAGTTCAAGGCCAGCCTGGGCTACAAAGCAAGCTCAAGGCCTGCCTGAACTGCATAGTGAAACCGTCTCAAAAAGACAAAAAGAAAGTGTTCTTAACATACATTTTTGTGCATGCTCATGGAGGATCAAGTTGTAGACCAGCCTGGGCTGCAAAGCGAGCTCAAGGCCTGCCTGAACTGCACCTTGAAACCCTGTATCAATGGAAAAATAAAAGGGGCTCAGAAGAATAAGCACATGTCAGGCAAGCGTAAGGGCCTGCGTTCAATCCCTGGTTCCGCCAAAAAAAAAAAAAAGACACGTCTCAGGTAATTTTCACACAGCTGGCTATCCAGTTCTTAAGCCTTTTAAGTTTTCTGGCTTCAGGATCATAATCCATAAATTAATAAAATAAATTGATGTGTATTAAACAGCTAGCAATAGCCCTGGCATGCTGTCAGGTTCCATACTTAGCATTTAAAGATGCTGTTTTCTTAAAGGAGAATAGAAAATGACTTCCAAGCAGACAGAAATAAAGGCAAACAGCACCTCTTTGTTTGTTTGTTTTCTTTTTTTTGCTGCTCTAGTCAAGGGAGGGAAACTTTATTCAGGCCCCAAGGCTGCAGGCGTTGGGCAGGTGGTGCCCTTCTGCCCGAGGGGCTGGCTGAGCTTTATTTGACCTTCTTGGGGCGCAGGTTGTTGGTGTGGCCACACTTCTTCTTGCGGCAGTTGGCAGCACGGGGGTGCAGGCGGGCATAACACTCGCGGCAGATCATCTTGTCACAGCTGTACTTCTGGGCAAGCTGGCGCAGGGATGGCTCGATGATCCCACCTCGCAGGCGAAGCACCAGGCGCAGGGTGGACTCTTTTCGGATGTTGTAGTCAGAGAGGGTCCGCCCATCCTCCAGTTGTTTGCCGGCAAATATCAGACGCTGCTGGTCAGGGGGGATGCCCTCCGTGTCTTGGATTTTGGCTTTGACATTCTCGATGGTGTCACTGGGCTCAACCTCGAGGGTGATGGTCTTGCCCGTCAGGGTCTTCACAAAGATCTGCATGTCTGCGTCTGCCTCTCGGCCGCCTCATTGAAGAGAAAGAGGGCGACGGAACCTAGCGCCTCTTAGTTGGACTGAAACGTTTCCCCGGTGTACATGGCCTGACTGCCAGCTGACGGGCTTTTGCTCAGGAGGGTTCTAACTTGGTCGAGCAGACTAATCCACTGAGGAGATCAGTCTGCTGGCAGGACCAAGAGAACAAAAACGGCGCCGGGCCTGAGAGGGGAGGCTCTCACAGGCTGACGGGCCCTCCTCTCCCACTTCGGGCCTTCCTCCTCCCGGCTGCCACCCCGCTCCAACAGGATGTTCTGCCTCACTTCAGGCCCACAGGAACCTCTGAAATCATGAACCAAAATAAACGTTTCTGCCTCTAAACTGTCTCTCAGGCATTTGGCCACAGTGATGAAATACTAACACAACACCATAAAGCTTTTTCTTCCCTTTCTTATTCCTCAAAGAGGATACTTCTGCCAAAGACTGGTTTTCAAACTGGGACCCAGCAAGCAACTGAAAAAGGCAGTCTGAGTGGAGAGAGATGTTTAAATCAGTCTACTTTCAGAAGTCTTCCCTCCAATTTCCCTCTTCAGTTTCTCTGGGGGTTAGAGAACGTATGTGAATGGTTACAAACTGTAGATCTACTGAGGTTCCTGGAGGTGAGCACCCTTCCAACGCTGTTCCATCCCTCGTGGCTCACAAAGGCGATGGCATATATTTATTTGCATGCTAGAAACAAACCCATTTCCGAGTCGGGGGGGCCTAGCAGAGTGAGACAAAACACTAGAGTGTTACTTAAACCCAAATTTGGTCTTCTCAAGATATTTTGGAAACTTTCTGTAGACATTTGGGAACTGCAATGGCTTTTGGGTAGCAAAGTAACACAAATTGAAAGTAGTTTTCCTAAAAATAGCACCCTACTCCTCCAACAAAATCACTCAATGAAACAGACTAATAATTTTTTTAATTTATAATTTTTGTTACAATATAAACTAGCATTAAATTTTCAGTCTAGATTAGACTAAACAGAAATGTTACACAACCCAAGGAATGGATTTATAGTTTGACAGTGTTCCTTAAGTGTCTTGTCACTGCCTTTTTCCTTTTCTCTAAATTCTTCCTGCCCTGGTCTTCACTTAATACATGTATACTTTATTTCACCCAATATCATTTTCAGGATCTACTTGAATAATCATTAAACCAATTTAGAACACTCTAAATGGTAAAATTTGTCTTTTTTACTGTATTTCCCAAGGTAATACTTTAATCACTTTTTTTGGTACCAGAATGTTCCATAAAGAACCAATAAGTGTTTTATTTCTCTAAAATGAAAGATGAATATATCCAGTGGCTGTTTAACCATTTAGTCAGTCCATCAAAAGCCACTCATGTTAACTGAAATTGTAACAAATCACTTTTGTTATTTACTTAATGCTTACAAGATTATTCAACACAATGACTTCCCACAACTTAACATTTCACCTTCATATCACTAGGAAGAAAAAAATCCAAACATACTTTCCTCATCTAAAAACATCACAAGAAGCTAAGAGGCGCTTAGGATCTTTATACATCTTTGAAACCTAGTGTTACACTTCTAACTGTGTACTTAAGTTACAAATCACTTCCTGTTCCGCAACATGGCTTCAATTCGGTGCATCACACTTAAATTACAGGTACTGCATCAGGCTGTCGAGTCCGGTGCTTCCGCATTAAGGCTCTTATTCAAGATTTCTTCTTCTGTAAAATGGATTTTAAAAAAGAAAGTCATCAACAAAACACATTATAAATATATAGATTCCAAGTAGAAACAAATTCCTTAATTTGAAAAGCCTGATACTTATGGAAATACTCAAACTACGATACAATTACCACTTTACTTACCTTCCTCCAAAGAGTAACTCATTTTTCCTAGAACACTTTGTGAAATACCAGTGTTTATCGCTGGTCAATTGAGTGTATCACTAACTCTACATCTGTCCAAACAAGCAATACGAGCAATTTTTTTAACATGTTACGAGGAAAATTTTCAAACACACAAAAGTGAACAGAATCATGACTAATCTAGTGTATCTAAAATATGGTTTCAATTATTAATCCTAAAATTATGGGTTGACTTGTATCTCTCAAAAGTTATTAAATTCGGGGCCAGGGAGACAGCTCAGTAGAATAAGCACTTGCCTGGCAAGTTCAAGGGCCTGAGTTCAATCCCTGTTCCGCACCAAAAAAAAAAAGAGGTTTTTAAATTCTAACCTCAGTGCCTCAGAACATGGCCTTAATTGCAAAGTCATTATAGACACAATTAGCCATAAATGAGGTCACACTGGAATAACATAGGCCTTTTAATACAACTAGTTTCCATGTAAAAAGACTGCCACAAAAGAGAAGAACGCATGTGAAGACAGGGTCAAACAGGGTCAAAGACTGGGTTAGGAGGCCGCAGTCCGGGAACACCTGGGGTAACCGCAGTCTGGGAGGACTAAGGAAAGATCCCCTGCACTAATGGCTTCAGAGAGAACACAAGGATTTTGGACTTCTAGTCTCTAGAAGTTATGTCTCCAGAATCACCAAGTTCCAAGTTACCCAGCCTGTGGCACTTTGCTACGGCACAGGACACTACAGCAATGACTGTGTCTTGTTTCTTCTACCCTCATTCCCACCACCAGATTTACATCCCAACGAATCTCACCTATGACACCAACACAACAGAGTTAGTTTTGGTTTTGCGACCGGGTCTTACTTTGTAGTGCAGGCTGGCCTTGAACTCACTATGTAGTCCAGGCTGGCCTCAAACGTGCAGCAATCCTGCTGCCTGAGGCTGAGTGCTGGGACTACAGGTGTGCCACACCATGCTCAGTTTACAACAATATTTAAGTGTTTCTCAACTTCTTAGAAGTTAACTTCCATTGGATTTTGATGAGATTTACATTCAGTAGTTTATATTACAAAATCAGTAAGTTTCAAAAGCAAAAATATGTTTATACTCTTGCCCTAGCCAGTTGTAAACTACTACACATCAGCAGATTCTCAAAGTACTCACAGTGACAGCTCACCTTTCACGGAAGTAAATAAAATGCAGATGCTGTCATTAACAGCCAATATCATATACCATTCACTGTGTACTATTTTTATGAAGTATAAAAGAAAACGTCAACAGATGAATATGCACATATTTAGTAAAATCTTACCTTTTAAACTAGGTAGAAGTTCTAGAGGACTACATGGTTCTCCAACGCTACGTGGCACGATGGTCCTCAATTTTTGCTCCACTGGAGAAAACTTAATTAGTGGTGACAGAGACTGTTTTCCTTCACCAAGCGACAGGCACAAAGATGGCTTTGCACAGCCAGTGAGCAAATCATCACTGTCCAAAATATGAAGCATATTATCTGCTTGCATGTTTTTGGCTACAGCACTCACTTCTCGTTCGTGTCTTTCAAGAACTTCAGGATTAGAGAGATAAGATTCTTCCCTTGTCTTGGGAAGAGATTTCTTTAGAGCCTCGTAATTACTGTGAATAGCCTGGAAACTGAATTCTGATTCTGGAGCCATCTGTTCTCCTTTCATAACATCATCCAAAAAAGTGCCACTGTGCACAGGGCTATTCGATGCCAGTTTAAAGTGGGTCTCAGAACTACCAGAGCTATTGAGACTCAGACGGCCAACTTCTTCTGGAAGAGTTTCATGTAATATGCCAAAATCCATATCATTAAGACTCTTAGAACTAATTCCACTTAATATCTGAAAAGAGTCCCATAACACAGTCTTATACATGAAAGTTTCATTGTGAGAAGCCTGTGGGTGCTCCAATGCTTTAACACATTTATCTTCACTCCTACCCATCATCACATTGATCCTATTACGTACAGAAGGAGAAAGCTCCATTGGGCTAGTTTCTGAAAGCTTGGTCGGTAAAGCTGCACATTCTAAGTCTTGCTTACAAACTATTTTCTTACTTAACAAATCGGACTTGTTTTCTGTCATGGGTTCACCGATATGACTAGTCACAGGTTTCTCAGGCACATCCTCAAGACAGTCCAAAACGACTTTCTCTTCAGGCAAGTAAGACTGGCTAAAATCTGAGAAAAGGCTGGCCACGCTGAACTCTCTTTGACTGTGCAACACAGGTAAGGACTCTGGCAATACTTCTCCACGGTGAGTATCCATCTGAATTGGTTCTGTACTTCCAGTATCTTCCATTTCAACAGCTTGTCTCCAGGAGCTCCTACCTTCAGTTACTAATCAAAGGAGGAAAATAATTCACAATTTACTAATATTGTCAAAGTACAGAATGATACCGAACATTTTATTTCTTGTGCTGCAAATAAAACTACTGATGAAGTTTATATCCCCAAAATATACTGGTTGAATGACAAGACTCCTTGACAGAACAAACCCCAAAACAGAACTCCAACTGATCAAACACAAAGTAAACATACACAAAAGCTGTTTTCTTCTTTTGGGGGAGGGGCTGTTTCATTTTGAGACTAGCTCTCACTACATTGCCCAAGTCAGCTCAAACTTTCGATCCTGCTGCCTGTGTCCAAGTGGAGCTGGGATTTCGTTATGGATGTGTCCACATGTCTCTCCAAAGCCTCACGCAGTCACAGATGGGGCTTCTTCAGAGGTGGCTGGCTCTAGAGCATGTGACGTGGGATTAAAAGCATGTGATTCTAAGTCTGTGTGCTTTGCTTGGTATAGTTCTGGGTGTAAGTGTGACCCACCCTGCGGGAGGCAGGCAAACACCCTCGACAGAACAGAAGAGGGACAGAGAAGCTGTTGCTGCTGCCTGCGTGCTCTGCTGCCTTCCGCCTGCCACACACTGTCTCTCCTCCGTCATGCCTGTCTGCCAGGGCACGCTGCCTTGGAGCAGCCGGTTATGGAACGAAACCTCTACAAATTGCTGAGCCAAGACAAACCTTTCCTCCTTTAACTTCGAGGGCTGGGTATTTTGTCTCAGCAAAGAGAAAAGCAACCAAGATAGCAGGTAATTAAGACAAAATAAGAACAGTAACTAATTCCCAGCACCTAGACAAACACTATTCCTGAAATGTGCATATACTTTCATACACTATATATGAACTACATGTATTAAAGACATTTTCTTTTTTTTTTTTTTGTGGAACCAGGGATTGAACTCAGGCACTTGCGCTTGCCAAGGAAGCGTTTACTCCACTGAACCATCTCCCTGGCCCCAAAAAAAGACATTTTCTTGCCTGTCTAGACCAGGGCTCAGCAAGCTTTCTCCACAAGCACTTGGGAGGCTGAGGCAGGAGGAACACTGCGAGTTCAAAGTCAGGCTGGGCTACATAGTGAGTCCACGGCCAGCCTGAATTTCAGAACAAGACCCTTTCTCCAGAACACAAAGCTTTTTCTTTAAGGCCACACAGCATTACTTTAGGCTTTGCAGGTCATGTGCTCCAGCACAGTTGCTTGACTCTGCCATCACAGCATGAAAGTAGCTATATAAGTACAGCTACTTATACAGTAAGTCAACAAATAAGCAAGATCGCGTCCAATACAACTTCATTTGCAAAAACACTGCAGATTCGGTTCACAGGCAGGGAATGGCCTAGATGGAAGTATTCAACCAATATAATCTGTACTGCTTACGTAATGAAACCAGTATATCACAGTCGGCTTACATGAATTAGAGACTCCAAAAGGACCCAGGACTCTTACTTCGGGAGGAGGAAAGAAATCTCTGTAGTTTCTGGCTGTTGCCTCAGACTGCTGACTGGGAAAACCTGGCCTCCATACTTTCTAAATGTGGATCACAGATCAAATCTGAAGGCAGATTTCTTAAATGTGATCGAATAAAATATCATCCAGACAACAGTAGAATAAGTGCTTCCCTGGCAAGTACAAGGGCCTGAGTTCAATCCCTGGTTCCGCAAAAAAAAAAAAAAAAAAAAAATCATCCAGACAAAAAGCTCAAAGCCAAGGTCCACAACAAAAACAAAATTGTGTTGTTTTAAGAGCTTACACATCTGGGCAGGCATGGCAGCACATGCCCGTGCTCCCTGCACTCGGGAGGCTAAGACAGGAGGATCGCTATGAATTTGAGTCCAGCCTGGGCTACAAATTAAGCTCAAGGTCAGCCTGAACTGTGCATCAAGACCCTGTCTCAAGAAGACCAAATAGAGGGGCCGGGGAAATGGCTCAGTGGAATAAGTGCTTCCCTGGCAAGTACAAGGGTCTGAGTTCAATCCCTGGTTCCGGGGAAAAAAGACCAAAAACACCAAAAAGAAAACTTTAAAAAAGAGCTTACACTTCTGCTAAGTACACTAAAGCCAAGACATACTCCTAAGGAAAGTGCTTTGTGAATGTGCCCACCCTGAGTTTCCAAAGAGCCCCTATATCAGAACAAACAGCCATCACCAATAAATTGAAAGATAAAGAAATGAATTTTAAAATGTTTCTAGGTGGGGCCCTGCCCCTTAGCTCAGCTCTTTAAATGGCTGCTTCAACAAAGCAGTCAGGCTCAGCTTGCTGTGGTTGGATCCCCACAACTCAAGCCAGCCAAACCTGCCCTGAAGGCATTCAGAGCAAAAAAAAAAAAAAATCCTTAAAATGTTTCTAGGGCTGGCCAAATAGCTCAGCAGATTAAAGTGCCTGCAAGCAGGTGCAGGGGCCAGGGTTCGATCTCCTGGGCCTGCCATGCCAGCCCCACCCCCAGGGCATGCTGAGATGGCAATTGAGCCTGTAATTCCAGCTTTTGGGAGGCTGTGAACAGGAGAATCACTATGAGTCCAATCTAGCAGTGAGACCCTGAACACCCTGCAGACCCTTCCCTAAAATAAAAAAAAAAAAAAAAAAGTTTTCAAAAGATCTATCAGACCACATATCTAAGAGCAATGCTAAGACAAAGAAATTAGAAAACATTAACTTACTCAAATTTTCTGGAGTTCGAGGAATCTGTTTCCTTGTTAAGAAGGGGTTAGAAACTATAGAGTCAATTAGTTCTTCTAATTTTACTTCTTTTCCTTCAGAGACCTGTGGTGAATTAGATAAAACTGCCCTAGCAACCTAAAGCAGAAAAGGAAAAAATTAAAATTACCAAGCCCACTGGTACCATGCAATAAAAACAATAAAAAGCACTTCAGAAGCGGCACTGAAGCAAAAACAAGACAAAAATGAGTCTCCCGAATACTATGTATCACATAGATACAATCCTTCAAAGTGAAATGGAACACAAAACTGTGAGAGTGTGTTAGTTGATACATTGTGTCAACTTGGCTGAATGGGGGTCTAGCCCCGCAGGTGGGCAGGGCCCAGGAATGGAGAAAGGCTTCCGTGGCCCGCCCTGCTTCCGTGGCGAAGTCCCAGTCCTCGGAGGAGCTTGATCTCAGCAGCCACGCCACTTTGGAGGAGCTCCGATCTGCGCTGTGGAGCGCCGGTCTTCGCGGTCAGCGCAGAAGGAAGAGAGAGGCTTGATGGACGCCCTGCTGCCACTCCTTCTCTGCTCATTGTTTTCTGCTCCATGAACTGCTGACGTTTGCCTTGAAGCCAGTGGAATATGGACTGAACCCTCCAGTAACTGTGAGTTAATAAACCTTTCCTTCCTTCCTTTTGAGTGTCGGGTATTTGTCCCAGCAACGAGTAAAAAGTAACTAAGACAGAGGGTTTTGGTTTTTTTTTCCCTCTAGGTCATTTTAAATGGATAACCTATTAATAAGAAAGAATAGATAAGAGTCTTGTAAAGATTTAGCAGCACTCAAGAGGCTGAGGCAGGAGGACTACTGCAAATTTGAGGCCAGCCTGGACTACAAAATGAGCTCAAGGCCAGCCTGAACTGTATATCAAGACCCTATCTCAAAAAGAAAAAATAAATGAAAGATTTAGGGCTAGAGCTGGGGAGATGGCTCAGGAGAATAAACACTTCCCTAGCAAGCACAAGGGTCTAAGCCAATCCCAGGTTCCGCAAAAAAAAAAAAAAAAGATTTAGAGCAAGCTGACAGCAAAATGACCTAAGCTGTTAACTGCTACCACCTACAGTGCCACAATTCTGAGACTGTCACACTGAGACTCCTAGTCTCTTGCAGTGTGTCACCCCTATTAACACAGGTGCCTTCCAACAACACACTCCTCTGCCAGAGACCTGTTATGGTTTGTGTCTAGTTGTCCCCCCAAAACCTCATGCAGTCATGGGGTGTGGACTTCTAGAGTTTGTGTTAACTCATGATCCACTGGGATTATGTGTGAGCCAAGGCTGGGATTATGGGTTTTAGTACTGCTGGGATTACCCATAGGTGGGTAAATATTGGGAAGTACCCATAGGTGTGAGTACTTCCCCTACCCTGGGGCAGGTAATTTGCATTACAATGTAAGGTGGGAAGAGAAGCCAGGGGCTTGAGCTGCTGCTACCCCTCCTTTTGCACTCTTCCTCTTTGCCACCACCATGAAAGGCTGCCCTCTGCCCTGTGCCACTCTGCCTTGGAGCCAGCTGAGTGTCGACTGAAACCTCCAGTAACTGTGAGCTAAATAAACCTTTGCTTCCTTCATTTTGAGTGTCAGGTATTTGTCCCAGCAACGAAAGAAGAGTAACTAAGACAAGACCTCATTACCAGATCCAACTCAGTAAACAAGGAATAAGAGTACATTCTAAAATAGAGGGAAGGGGCTGGGGAGATGGCTCAGTGGAATAAGTGCTTCCCTAGCAAGCACAAGGGTCTGAGTTCAATCCCCGGTTCAGCAAAAAAAAAAAAAAAAAAGGGAAAAAATTACAGTATGAAAACAGCCAGATGTGGGGGGCACATAGCTATAATGCCAGCATTTGGGAGACTAAGGGAGAAGGATTGCTGTAAATACGAGGCCAGCACAAACCACACGGTGAGACCCTGTCTCTAAAGCGAATCGTCCGGGTGTGGTGGTGCACAGCAGCAAGACTAGCACTCAGAGGCTGTTAGGATAGCTGTGGGCTACCACGCGAGCTCAAGGCCAGCCTGAACCGCACAGCGCAAGAAATAGCCCTCTATTATATCAATAAAACAAGGATAAAAATTAAAATCACTGAAAACTAATTTCCTAAAAAATATATTGAGATTACCCCAAGAGGTCTTCTTAGAATTAAAACATCGACTATCTCTTGTAAACATTATTAAAATTAATTGCAATTTTATCTTCAAAGTCTCATTTTAGGGCTTTGCTTCTCTAATTCATTCCATTCTACCATTAACCTAAATTGTATTTTATTATTATTCTTTAATCTTTTTATTTATTTGGTACAGGGTCTTACTACGAACCTCAAGACTCTAGTGATCCTCCTGTCTCAGCCTCCCAAGTGCTGGGATTATAGGCATGGGCCACCATGCGCAGTATTGGTGGCCTGCAGGTACGAGCACAACATGTAGTGCTGGGGAATCAAACTCTTTGCACTTGCCAGGCAGGAACTTAGACCGCTGAGCTATCTCCCCAGCCTCAATATAAATTCTATTAACCACAAAACAGAACATTTTCCCCACAATTAAGAAAGAAAGAGCAGGCAAGATAGCTCAGCAGATTAAGCTCCTGCTTTGGCAAGGGTAGGGACCAAGCCCCACCCCCAGGGCACACTGAGTCAGCAAACAAGTCCTGGCATGGTAGTGCATGCCTGTAATCCCAGCCCTGGGGAGGCTGAAAACAGGAGATCACCACAAGTTCAAGCTTTGTAGTGAGACACTGTACCAAATACATAAGTGGGAAAAACAAAAAAGAAAAAAGTGACCCATCTTTGCTTTAGTGTTCACTAGCTACAGAGAAACAACAGAACTTTAAAGATTTAAAAGTATTGACAGAACATGAAACTGGCACATATATTACAAATAAGAAAAGTAACGTTTTTTTCATTTGAGGGCTGGCCAAACAGCTGAGCAGACTAAAGCACCTGCAAGCAGGCCCAGGGGCTGGGGGTTCTGACACCCAGACCTGCTGTGCCTGTGCCACCCAGGCCCTGGCCCTGGCCCCACCCTCAGGCCACGGTGAGAGGGCAATTGAGACTGGGCACAGTGGCATGCGCCTGTAATCCTAGCTCTTGGGAGGCTGTAAACAGGCGGATCACTACGAGTCTGATCTAGTAATGAGACCCTGAACTCCCTGTAGACCCTTCCCTAAAAAAAAAAATTTTTAAATTCTCTTATTTGGATAATACTCAGTTTGATCAGGAGAGAACTTTGAATTAATATTATGTAAACCAAACTCTTCTTTAAGTCACTCAGAAATGAAAAGCTCAATTACTTCACCAAATTAAAATAATGCTAATAGGGCTGTTGAGATAGCTCATCGGACCAAGTGCCTACTTAGGCAAGCATGGGGACCAGGTTTGATTCCCAGCACCACATGCTGTGCCGGCCCCAGCCCCAGGCACACTGAGCCGGCCACCAAGACTGGGTGGTGTGGTGGCACATGTCTGAAATCCCAGCCCTGGTGAGGCTGAAAACAAGAGGATTACTACAAGTCCGAGCTGTATAGTGAGGCCCTGTACCAAATGCATAAAATAAATAAATAATGCTAAGGTATGTTATGAAAAATATGCCAGTAAAATAAAATTAGTGAATGGCTTGAGTTTTCAGTTTGTATAAACTGAGTTCTGCAATACTGAACAACAGTATTCTGTGGTCATTTACCAGTGAAAAGTATAATAACATGAAGGGACAGATCAAGCTAGAAAGTCAAGTTCATAAATAGCAACACATTTAAATCATTGAAATATTTAGGGGGAGAAAACTTTCAGTGATAATACAAATTGCTTATTCTATGTTCTCATACTCAAAAAGAGAAAGCTAAGAAATAGACGCACTGACATAGTTAAATAAGCACACTCATTAGGTGCATTTACCTAACAATTTATATGAAGGTTAACCACCAATGTATCGGACCAGTGATTTTTGTATTCTCAGATGACAGTTCTAGAACGAAAAGTAGGTTCTAAACCTACTGCTACCTAAGCTTATATGAAGTCTGTCTATGTCTCCTTCTTGGGGGGCCAACTCTGCTCTGTTATTTTTATCTTCTGTGTCCACCTGTGCTGTCCCCAACAGATTACCTCAGTTAATAATTTACTGCATTTCCCTTCTTACACCACCACCAGCAAGAAAAGTAATAGGAATTAAGTACCCTTATTAAGTGTTTTTCTAACCTCTTCCACCAGGAGATCTTGCTCTTTCTGGAACGGGTCCCTTTTTTCGGCTGGCAGAGACCCTCCGGACATCCTATTCTCTGCATCCTCTGCAGCATCCCACAATACAGAGTTCTGCCCTTCCAATTCTGGAATTTTCTTAGAAATTATTTCACCTTTCTCTTTGGGAGCTCTCATCACTGTATCCTGAGAAGAGATATATATGTTAAAAGTATAATAATCATGGCTAAGTCAGAAGCTGTCTTCACTACCCAGTCATGATTATGAATCTAGTAAAAGTTAGTATTATATGAAATTATGTTTACTAGCAGAATTAAATAATTCCAACATTTTCTACTTAGCAAACAATGTATAAACAGAAATGACACAAAATGCAAAACTATTAGGAAAGATGAAAATATAGTTTCATTAAACTATTACATCAACAAAAACAAACGATGTTTTACAATACTTTAGTCTGAACGGAAAATCATCAGAATATACCTTTCCAAGTAGCGCAACACTGTTTCTCTCTGACGATGAAGCTGACCGCAACAGAAAAGAGGCAGAACTAAAAGGAAAAACAGCAAATTCCACTGTAAGGAAGAGAATTCCATCCACATGATGCATGCTAAACACTGCAAAGAAACTGTCTGCCCCGCATCTGTCCGTTACGATTTCACTCAATTCGTCCCGGTCATCAAAAAGCACTTTATTCTAGGGAGGTGTGGTGACAATTAGAGCAGCATTTCAGCTCAATTTGTGTATCTGCCTCCCAATTCCAGACATTCTGCTTACGTGCTCTACACACTTCAAGCTGCTGGTGCTCGTATTCTGTTCGCGCATGTCTGTGACACAGCTGGAGCTCCTCACCGGGCATGGCGGCACACAGACATGGGGCCTATCTTATTTCTCCTTGCTCTTCCTTCTCTCTACCCCAGTAGTATGTTTGTAAAGGGTTGAAAAGCACTCAAAAGCTGGAGTAGTTTAAAAAGAAATCCAGTAAACTAGAATTGCACTATTACAACATCCTCAAGAGTCCACATCACAGAATTTAATTGTAGGACAGATTTCAAAAGATTCTTTTGAGCACAAGCCTGTAATTCCAGCACTCAGAAGGCTGAGGCAGGAGGATTGTTGAGTCCAGCATGGGCTACAAAGTGAACTCAAGTCCAAGCTGAACTATGTAGTGAAACCCTGCCTCAAAAAGACAAACAAACAAAAAGAGCTTCTGTTATTACATGGCCAAAATCCATTTCTCATATGCTGCCCTTGGCACTATTGCAAATGCTTCATACATAGTAGACACAGTTTATTCAGTTTTAGTTAGCCTATACACTGCACTGCTTTACGTTTTAGATTCCCTTGTCCCTTTGAATAAACAATAAAACTTCATGTATCTTTTCATCATAGTGTTATTAAAAATTAAAAACCTTAAAAGAAATGATAACTTTAATGTTGATCTCAAAAGATAAGGCAAAAAAACTTTCCTATTTTTTAATTTTTATTTATTTATTTTTTATTTTAGCGAAGGGTTTACAGGGTGGTCAGGGTCTATTAGATTGGACTCATAGTGATCCGCCTGCTTACAGCATCCCAAGACCTGGGATTACAGGCGCATACCACCACTCCCGGTCTTTTTTTTTTTTTTTTAATTACCACAGAAAATGCTGGGGTTTTTTTGGGGGGGTTGTTTGTTTGTTTGCTTGGGGGGTTTTTCGGAACTGGGGATTGAACTCAGGCCCTTGCACTTGCCCGGAAAGTGCTTATTCCACTGAGCCATCTCCCCAGCCCCGAAAATACTGTTAACAGCAAGCATGCTGGTACTACCTTCTTTTCAGACAGAAACACAAAATTAACAGTTTTACAAATATTTCACACAATAAAAATATATATTTTCAAGTTTTTCCAAACATGCACTCTTAAATCTTCACCTATCTTCGAAACATAACTCAAAACCATTAGGACTCAAGCTTCAGTTTAATAGGATATGATGCAAGGCAAAGACAGGACTGTGGTTTTTGCAAAATAGCTTAGTAAAGTAAGCGCGTGCCTGGCTAGTGCAAGGCCCTAAATATTCAATCGCCAGTTGGGGGGTGGAAAGGCTGGGGAGATAGCTCAGCTGTCTAAATGCCTGCCTGTCAAGGACAAAGACGGGGGCTTCAATCCCTGGTACATGCCGTGCCAGGCCCAGAAGCCACTGGCCACCAACATCGGGCGTGATGGTGCAGGCCTGTAATTCCAGTTTGGGGAGGCTGAGACACGAATTATCGCGAGCTGCGTGGTGAGACCCTGCACCAAATAAATAAATAAAAGATTTTTAAAAAGGAGGCAGCGTCCAGGACCCGCAGTCCTAGCCCAACGGTTCACTTTCCATTGACCCGCCAGTCATTAGGCGGAAGAGGAACTCTTCCCAGAACAGAGGGCAAACACTGATCCAAAGTAACAGGAACCCCTGAGACATTCTGCCAGATTTTCCACAGAATCTGCTCCACCAAAACCTGAATGTAAACCAAGAAAAGCGTCTACCGGGAAAGAACCTGGACCAAAGATTAACACAGGCGCTAAAGGCAAAGAAGGACGCAGGAAGCTGGCATGAAAACGAGATCTGTGGATAACGAGGGAGAGTAAGCTGCCACAGAAAGTTGGGAGTGATTCGGTGTACCTCTCGGGACACCTTTTAAATGCTATTTTTACCAAGGATTTTGTAAATGCTAATTTTTTAGGACTCTACTAGTTGAGATACAAAATATATAAGGATGCGCACTTCACCCTCTCCTACTCATGCTTTTGAAAGTTTTTATCATTATCAAGAAAAAGTAGGGGGGCAGGGAGAGGGCTCAGTAGAATAAGCGCTTCCCTGGCAAGCGCAAGGGCCTGAGTTCAATCTCCTGTTCCTCAAAAAAAAAAGAAAAGAAAAAGGAATACCATCTTAATGTTGGAAGCTGTGTATAAAATTGATGGACTGCTGCTTTATGATTTTAAAGCTGTGCATACTGTGGTGTTTTTACTGGGAAAACTTGAAATTTTTCATGCAGTTTTTCTAGAGCAATAATCAGCAGTGCTTTCATTCCTAGGCTTTCTGTGATTTTAATAAAAGATGGACGGTTGTGGCCACCTGCTGTGATTTAAAATAAAAGGTATTCTTGTCTGAATTTTTTTTAATTAAAACTTTACAAAAAGCCCTCAGTGGGGCCAGGGAGATGGCTCAGTAGAATAAGCGCTTCCCTGGCAAGCACAAGGGCCTGAGTTCAATTCCCAGTTCCGGCAAAAAAAAAAAGCCCTCAGAAAAAGAGCCAACAATGCATGAAACAATGTCACTAAGGCCATGACTAGGTAGGAAGACCAGCCTGCACTACAGAGCAAGACCCTGTCTAGAAAAGACAAATGAAAAACGCTGCAATGACACCTGTACAGACCAGCTCCATGCTGTCGCCGCATGAGAAGGGTAACACACGGACCCAAGAACCACTCTTCCCGTGCTGCACTGTGTCTTGTTTGCTTTCTGACTGTGGTACTGAGGACTGCCCCAGGACCTGGCACCAGCAATGCCCTGCCCTCCCCGACGCACACCCGACCCCACCCCTCCTGTGGAGACGGGGTCTATGTCATGAGCTTGCCCAGGCTGAGCTCAACTGCATCCTTCTGCCCTATCCTCCGAGCACCTGGATTACTGCCATGTGCCATCTTGCCCAGCTTGGTCATGGTTTTTAGTTTAGTAATTATATCAATAAAGTCTGCATATAGATTTCCTAATTAACCAAATTACTGAGCTAAACACAAAACAAGATATTCTTTTATTTCATTAAGATATCCTACCTACACTGCAGATGAAATACTTAACTACAAATACTATTAGCGGTGAGGAATTTTTCAGAACAGTATTACTTCCACAACACAGCAAGTCAATCTTCACGGATCTTCTGTCCCTCTATCTCTATTTAGCAATAACAACTTTCATATACCACGAATCACTTGTCCCAGAACCAAAAGCACGCCCCACCGCCCTTCAGTCTCCCAAGTCTTTGTGCACATGTATAGCGCTGGAGATGGAAGCCAGCACCTCCCAGGCATATTCTTGAAGCTCCAACCACAGATCCAGCCCTTAATATTTAAAAAGTATCAAAAAAAATACTGACAGATATAAAGAATATTTAACATCACTGGCTTTTGGCACGCTATAAAAATTATGATACGAGGAAAAAATAAAAAAGCCAATGTTACTATTCCTTCAATATGTCTACCAAGAGTTTTTCTTTAGGTACTCAAAAAGAAATCAACATCAAATCCACATGTAAGAATGAAAGCAGCCAGGGGTGATGCAGGAGGCTGAGGCAGGAGGATCGCTGCAACTCCAAGGCCAGCCTGGGCTGCATAGTGAGTTTAAGGCCAGCCTGAGCTGCACTGCCAAACCTTGTTACAAAAAGACAAAAAACAAAATGAATGTGTAATTCCTCTGCTAGTCCTGATCTCCTGCAAGCCAGCAAATGAGTGCAGAGGGACTGCCTATGGCTCAAGTTCAAATAAAAGCTTTGACTTTGGCTATGTCATTTCAGTGTACCAAGAGCATATGAAATGAACAGTGTTTGACTTAAAATTCAGAATTTTGGGGCCAGGGAGATGGCTCAGTGGAATAAGCGCTTCCCTGGCAAGCGCAAGGGCCTGAGTTCAATCCCCGGTTCTGCAAAAAAAAAAAAAAAAAAAAAATTTATAATTTTGTTTTATGATTTTCCTTCATATTTGGGAAAATTGGACTGAATAGAATTTATTTAAATCAAATGACAATTGAAAGCAAAACAAAGGAATCTATTCACTGTGTTTAATTGCTACACTATAATGTTTAATGTCCATAAAAAAATATATATTACCCAAATGAATTACATAATTTACTTCATTTAGAGATTTTTTTTTAATTTCTATAATCTGGCATTAATTGTAAGTGTCAAAATAATAGACAAAACAAGAAATAAAGAAAATAGGAGGGGGGCTGGGGAGATGACTTAGAAGAATAAGTGCTTGCCTGGGAAGCGCAAGGGCCTGAGTTCAACCCCTGGCTCCGCCAAAAAAAAAAAAAAAAAGAGAAAAAAAGAAAATAGAACTACTTCAGAAATAAGTTCAACCAAAAAAGCTCCAAGTTTTTCCTATTAAATTTTGGAGTTCATCAGACATTTTCTAATTTTCCTAAAACAAGAAGCTCTTTATCAAAAGGCCTGTCAAAAACCTGAACATAGGGCTGGCGAGATGGCTCAGTGGTCTAAAGCACCTACCTGGAACAAGCTTGGCAAAGCACAGGGATCACAGTTCGATCCCCCAGCACCACATGCCAGCCAGCCCCGCCCCCTGGTGGCTGAGCTGGTCACACACACACACACACACACACACACACACACAAATAAATAAATAAATAAATGTTAAAAAAAACAACCCGAACACATAATAAAAGTAAAAGAACAAGTTGCTCAGACTCAAGTGGGAACACACTTGATCAACCAGAGGCTACGCCACAGCCCCAGAGGGCAGAAAACGGTCTGAAAACGACCAGATGAGCTGATCTCAAACACACCCAACTCTTGTCTAAGGTGACACAGTGATTTTCAAAAAGTCCAAACACACTGATAAAATCCTCAAACTTACATTAGCTATTTTCTATATATATATTTTTTTCAAAATCCAGATATTCTCCGTGAAACCCAGTGTTCAGATAAATAAAAGGGAAAAAACATTTATGTAACATAACAATCTTTTCTGAAAATCTTGTCTGAAGTGGGAGGGGGAAAATCATATATTATCCCATAGTAAAAAAACTTAAAAACTGGCTTGAAAATGCTACTAAAATTAATGCAGGAAATAAAAATGAAAAATTATTTTACCTGTTGGCTATGTCACACACAGCTGCCAGTGTATCAATGTGTTTTCGGCAATCATTTTCTTGGTTATGTTGCTTAGGTATTTCTAAAGAAACATAAAAAATATTTACTTTTAGTTGTTTATATATTTCAATATTCTGATATTCAACAATCTCTTGAAAATGTAGAAATTTTTTTTGTCAGTGTTAGAATTCAAACCTCAGGCTTTGTACATGCTAATTGAGGTACATCCCAAGGACTAGAAAAATTTCTCAAAAGAACACTAACAACAATAAAAAAGATAATGCCAGAGTGGTCCAGGCCTATAATCCTGCTACTCAGAGTCAAGAAGATTACAAGTTCAAGGCAAGCCCAGACAAATTAATGAGGTTTTGTGTCATAATAAAATTCCTTTGAAAGAGGTAGGGTTATAACTCAGTGGAATAGTGCTTCCCTAGCACAAATCCCTGGGTTTAATCCCTAGTATCCTCCCCCACACAAATAAAGATAATTATCCAAATGTTACAATAAAGAGATAAGAAAGTACTACAAAATATCTAGTAGCGGGCTTTATAAAAAGACTAATACATTTAAAAGGCCCTGAGTTTGAAACCCAGCACAAACAAAAGGAAAAAAAAAAGACTTAAAAGACTGGTAACTCATGTCAAACTTCCAGTTATAGAATTCTCCAATGTCGTATTACCATGCTGCTTGTTTATGTGCAGAGATCATATACAATTACCATATAGGCCCAAAAGGCCCAAAAGTTATAGCAGTTAACATATTTCAGAACAGCTTTGATGACCACCATTAATATATATTTTTTCAACATCCTATCATTGTGCTGCCACTATATGAATGAGAAAAAAGTCTTCAATAACAAAATAATAGTAATAGAATAAATAGTAAAAAACTCTTCCATGAGTCAGTCTGGACAATGATGAGTAAAATGTTGTTACACTACTACAGTATTATGACAAAAGTCAACACAGGTACAAATTTTGTCTCATAAGGATATCAAAGAAGATCGGATTCTCTCTCGCCATGCTGGCTTCTAAAAGGCTTAAGGGGCCGGGGAGATGGCTCAGTGGAATAAAGCGCTTCCCTGGCAAGCGCAAAGGCCTCAGTTCAATCCCTGGTTCCGCCAAAAAAAAAAAAGGGCCAGGAGATGGTGAGTGGAATAAGTGCTTCCCTGGCAAGTACAAGGGCATGAGTTCAATCCCTGGTTCCGCCAAAAAAAAAAAAGGGCCAGGAGATGGTGAGTGGAATAAGTGCTTCCCTGGCAAGTACAAGGGCATGAGTTCAATCCCTGGTTCCGCCAAATAAATAAAAGGCTTTCTTGATATAGGTGCAGTGCACAGAATACAGTGGTGCCTTGATTCATGACCTGAACCCTTTCCACAACTCTGGTTGCAGAATTCATTTTGTGATTCCAGTTCTATAGTGCATACATGCCGCCGTTTGGCTGCAGCCACGACCATGGAGTGGATTCTACAGCCAGAATCAAGCAAGGCATTAGGTCTGTGAAGCGAGACACCACTGTACAACAGCGTAAGAAGCCAAGGTGCAGTTTTCTTCTTTAATCCATCCGGACAGTATGCCGCCTCATATCATTTTCAACAAGTTGTGTATCTCCTGATTATACTGGAGTTCACCCCAGTTTACAAAACTCACCAAAAATGCATGGAGATGCATTTCAGTGTAGAGCATCTATCTGCCTGGCTTCCTGGGTTCAACCCCCAATACTACCACCACCACCAAAAAATGAAAGCGTAACTCTACCACAAAACTAGGAGAAATTCATAAACAAAAAGTAATACTCAACGAAGCACCATATGTTGTTGGCCAGTAGGCACAGTTGAAACTTACTTGTTCAAGTTTTCTTAAAAAGTACATGGCAGGGGGGCTGGAGAGATGGCTCAGTGGTCTAAAGCACCTACTTGGAACTAGCTTGGCAAAGCATCAGGGACCGCGGTTCAATCCCCCAGCACCACATGCCAGCCATCCCCGCCCCCTGGTGGGCTGAGCTGGCCACACACACCTCT